TGGGGGGTCCTGGGGGGGTTTTGGGGGGTCCCAGGGTGGATTTGCGGGGTCCCAGTGGGCTTTTGGGGGGTCCCAGGAGGGTTTTGGGGGGGTCCCAGAGGGGTTTTGGGGGTACCTGGGGGGGATTTGGGGGTCCCAGGGGGTTTTTGGGGTCCCAGAGGGGTTTTGGGGGTCCCTGGGGGGTTTTTGGGGTCCCTGGACTGAGGCTCTGCCCCCCCAGATCGCCAGCCTGCGCTTCGTGTTCCTCATCAACCACGAGCTGATCGCGCTGATCCGCAGCGAGGCCGCGCGGCTCGGCCAGGGACACGGACAGGGACAGGGACACGGACAGGGACACCAGTGACACACCAGTGACACCAGGGACACCAGTGACACCAGGGACACCAGTGACACCAGGGACACCAGTGACACCAGGGACACCAGTGACACCAGGGACACCAGTGACACCAGGGACACCAGGGACACCAGGGACACCAGTGACACCAGGGACACCAGGGACACCAGGGACACCAGTGACACCAGGGACACCAGGGACACCAGGGACACCAGGGACACCAGGGACACCAGTGACACCAGGGACACCAGGGACAGGGACACCAGTGACACACCAGTGACACCAGGGACAACAGGGACAGGGACAGGGACACGGACAGGGACACCAGTGACACCAGTGACACCAGTGACACCAGGGACACCAGTAACGGCACCAGTGACGCACCAGTGACACCAGTGACACAGCCACGGACAGAGCCAGGGGCACTCCCAGTGACACCAGTAACACCAGTTTGGGACTGGGACACTCCCAGTGACACCAAGGACACCAGTAACACCAGTAACAGAGCCAGGGACACCCCCAGGGACAGCACCAGTGACACCAGTAACGGACCAGTGACACCAGTTTGGGACTGGGACACTCCCAGTGTGAGCCTTGGACCCTCCCAGTTTGGGACTGGGACCCTCCCAGTGCTCCCAGTTTGAACCTTGGACCCTCCCAGTTTGGGACTGGGACCTTCCCAGTTTGGGACTGGGACCCTCCCAGTTTGGGACTGGGACCTTCCCAGTGCTCCCAGTTTGAGCCTTGGACCCTCCCAGTTTGGGACTGGGACCCTCCCAGTGCTCCCAGTTTGAACCTTGGACCCTCCCAGTTTGGGACTGGGACCCTCCCAGTTTGGGACTGGGACCCTCCCAGTGCTCCCAGTTTGAACCTTGGACCCTCCCAGTTTGGGACTGGGACCCTCCCAGTGCTCCCAGTTTGAACCTTGGACCCTCCCAGTTTGGGACTGGGACCCTCCCAGTTTGGGACTGGGACCCTCCCAGTGCTCCCAGTTTGAACCTTGGACCCTCCCAGTTTGGGACTGGGACCCTCCCAGTTTGGGACTGGGACCCTCCCAGTGCTCCCAGTTCAGCCCTGCCCCCCCCAGTCAATGAGGGACGAATTTCCTGGGAATTCCCCCAAAATTCCTTCCCCATCCCCCAAAAATTGGGATCCCCCTCCCCCCTCCCCCCCAATCCCAGAAATTCCCAAAACAATTCCCGGATTTTAAAGCTCCGAAGTTTTTATTGGATTCGGTTCCGACTTTTCCTTCATTAAAGGGGAAAAAATTCCCAAAAAAAACAAACTTGGAAAAAAAAAACCGAGGAGAGGGAAAAGGAAAATTTGGGAATTCCTCAAATATCCCAAAAATTCCCCAAAAAAATCCTGGAAATTTGGGGTTGGGGGGAGGGGGGGAAATTCCTGAAATAAATTCCAGAGAAAATCCAAAAATCCCGGAGTGTTTTTGGTGGGGGGAGGGGAGGGAAAAATCCCGAATTCCAAAGGGAAAAATCCCGAATTCCAAAAGGAAAATCCCGAATTCCAAAGGGAAAATTCCCGAATTCCAAAGGGGAAAATCCCGAATTCCAAAGGGAAAATTCCCAAATTCCAAAGGGAAAAATCCCAAATTCCAAAGGGAAAATTCCCGAATTCCAAAGGGGAAAATCCCGAATTCCAAAGGGAAAAATCCCAAATTCCAAAGGGAAAATTCCCGAATTCCAAAGGGAAATTCCCAAATTCCAAAGGGGAAAATCCCTGAATTCCAAAGGGAAAAATCCCAAATTCCAAAGGGGAAATTCCCAAATTCCAAAGGGGAAATTCCCGAATTCCAAAGGGGAAATTCCCAAATTCCAAAGGGAAAAATCCCTGAATTCCAAA